AACTTTTAACTTCATAAAAACCTTGTCAAACACCCTAACACGGACAAGGAAGCAAGAAGCAAGAAATTTCACTCTTTGGCTGGGTCAAAAATTATGCATGAGATTATATATCAAATTGAGTAAATATTTTATAACCCCCCCCCCCCCCCCCCCCCCCACTAAGGTTTTTCTATAAATACTCTAACCTTCTTCTCTCAGTTACATAACTAAATACTTTTGTTTGTTTTNATTATAAAGAACAAAAGAGTCTGAAAAAGTCATTACAAGAGGTGAAATAAATATAAATCATTGGCACGTGCCCAAGTATTTCTTTTGAAAAAGTCATTACAAGAGGTGAAAAAGTGATGAACAAGAGCTACGCTAGTAGAATGCATAAAAATGACAGCCCAAGTAATACAAGTTTTTGGCCCAAGCATTCACAAGTGAGTTCCGAGTCATACCTGATGAAGAGCTGCATTAGCATTCTGCTGCTGATTCTTTCCAGACCACTGCACAGCATCCATCATCACATCCCAAAGAATCCTGACGACCTCAATATCTGGCAATTTTGCATCTTTGACATGCTGCTTCACAGTTTCTACGACTTCAATATATCAGCTTCCTCTGCCATCTGGCTTGTTAGCACAGATTTCATTTCCTTCAACTTCATTTCAAATATCTTCTTCTCATTATATTCAACCAAGAAGCCCTGCCTTACTGAGACACAAGTCAAAGATAGCTAAGTTCAGCATAACAGAAATTTCAACTGGTTAAATTACAGAAGTCAATAAGGTGAATGATTACACCCCACTCTCACAATTTGGTGAACTCAAGCTTCTTACAATGTCAAGATGGGACTGGCTTGCAATTTCCAACAATATATTGAAGGAGAGACAGTTCGGTGTAAAGCAAATAAGCAATATATTAAAGAATAAATTTGCAAGACAACAAGATCCTAAACTGCACTTCTATATCTGGAAAACTCAGATGTACATGTACAACTCCAGAATCTCAAAATTGTCAGGGAAGTTAAATCTGAAATGATATGTGCCTAGACTAAATGCACAAAAAACAGAGTTTTCCATTTCAACAGTTTACCAGCATTAACTTAATTAATACTCACTCCACCCATTGTTACCATCATACTTTCTGTTACAACGTCCAAAGTAGGAGTCCACTTGAGTCGATGCATTTTATTCCACTTATTTTCATGTTCTCAGAACACAGAAATCCCTTTTCGACTTTGTGAATATTAAGTTTTTATATTGTATTTCACGTTGCAAACAAGACTTGGTTGTGCTGGTAAGTTTTCACGTATTCAAAATTCATGAATTACTTTAAAATGTAGGACTTGCGTATTTCGAATTAGACCAAGTTGAGTGAGTCTGTAGCATTATTTAAAAGCTCGCAGTACTTCAAGATGAGGGTGAATTAAGAAAAGCTGACCCATTTGTCTTGATTGGCACCCCTAATATCCATTAACCTTAATTAATCCATCAATATACACTTAAAAATGGGCAAGTTTTCATAAATCCTAAATAATCTCAATTCATCTGTATGCATAACATATAAATATAAAACAATTAAGAGTCCATTGCATAGAGTTGTATAACAATGAAAAATTAAAGATTATACCAATTCCCAGGGATAATGAGCATGTTGAAAAATTGAGAAAATACGGAAACATATAACACAACAGCAGTCCAGCAAAGACGGTCTACAAGAATTAAACAAGTAGCAACTCAGTAAACCAAAAATAGATTAAATAAAATATTAGAATAATCAATTATATTCATACCTTCCAAAGAAGAGACTGCTGAGCGAGATTCTTCTCGAAGGATCGAATCAGCTGCTCTTGCTCTACAAATATTCATACATAAGAAATTCATTAAACAATCAATTATTGATATATACACAAAATTAAAATACAGGAGCTTGTGTTGTGTGCATTAAGAAATTGGGTACCTTGGGTTTCAATGAGACGTCAATCATCGCGAGTGGGTAGAGAAAAATTGTCATCAGCGTCGAAGTGAGATGGTCGGCGAGATTTTCGCCATTTCGTAGATAGCTTCTCCATCATTTCTTATTTCTACCCATTTTCCCCATACCGTAGCCGATTTCTTTAGGTGTATAAAGGAATTTTTATTCAATAATTTCGAAAATAGTTATCAAAACACGTGATCGCTAAAATTTACTTATCACATTAGTACTCCATCCAGGAGTGATACTAGATATGTCTTAAAAAATGTCTAATCAATTCAGAGTTCTGCATAACATCAGACAATGTCACGCCTAAGAAAATCTCGAAGTTTCCCCCAATCGTGAATCCACTCCGGATACTCCACCCGTCGTGGGGAAAACCACTGTTCTACAAATGGGACAACGATTTTCTTTCAAAAAGCGCTTGTGTGATGCAGTTGACATGAAACTCATGTTCGCAATAATACAATTGAGCAATTGTGTCTCTAGTCTTAAACTCCTCGTGTTTATTCAATCATTATATTAGATAATGAACAACCAAATATCTAAAAATTAAATATGAACGAAAAGTGCATAAAAATAGTCAAAATATATAAAGCTAACTCTGCATACCATGCAAATAATACATGCTAAAGATTCTTCTTTGGGCTCTCAAGTTCACTCGCTCTAGTTTTTAGAAATCTTAGAATTATTTCCTCTTCTAACTGTGTTCCCGTTGCTAAATCATAATCGAGTTAATAGCTATTGTCAATTTATTGCAAAACGCGTTTTATACTTTCAAACTCAAGGCGATGTTCCTCTTCTCGTCAATGGTAATCCTTAAGGAACGCATTAAGGTACTACAAAACGTGTCTTTTCTGCTACTAATTACATTCTCAAGGTTGCATTCGATAGAAAATCCGCAGCGATTGAGAACGGGCCAAAATGTCAATTGATGCCTACTTAGATGCTGGAGAAGAGGCAAGGTTCTTTTGTCCTTGTGATTTTATAATAAAAATTGGTTATTTGGGATTAATAAGAATTTATTTTTTTGGTTCCACAAGGCCGTAAAAGATTCTTAGTAGCAAAAATGATGGCGCACAGTATGTTAAGACTTGAGAACTACATTAGAAGGTTGCACCCTGAGTGGTTAAACAACGATGTTAGTAACGAGGTAATAATCAATTATAACTTATTGACTGAGAAACAGGAGGAGTTTAACCATGTTAATGCGCATCATATTATTTGTTTTGTAGAACCTTAATGCGTTATTGACTGAGAAAAGGAGGAGTTTAACCATGTTAATGCGCATCATATTATTTGTTTTGTAGAACCTTAATGCGTTATAATTTATAATTGATCATTACCTCGTTACTAACATCTTTGTTTAACCACACATGGCGCAACATTCTAATGTAGTTCTCAAGTCTTAACATACTGTGCACCATCATTTTTGCTACTAAGAATCTTTTACGGCCTTGTGGAACCAAAAAATAAATTCTTATTAATCCCCAAATAACCAATTCTTATTATAAAATCACAGGAACGAAAGAACCTTGCCTCTTCTCCAGCATTTAAGTAGGCATCAATTGACATTTTGGCCAGTTCTCAATATCTGCGGATTTTCTATCGAATGCAACCTTGAGAATGTAATCAGTAGCAGAAAATACACGTTTTGTAGGACCTTAATGCGTTCCTTGAGGATTACCATAGACGAAAAGAGGAACATTGCCTTGAGTTTGAAAGCATAAAAACGCGTTTTGCAACAAAATGACAATAGCTATCAACTCGATGATGAGTTAGCAACGGGAACACGGTTAGAAGAGGAGATAATTCTAAGGTTTCTAAAAACTAGAGTGGGTGAACTTGAGAACCCAAAGATGAATCTTTGGCATATACTATTTGCATGGTGTGCAGAGTTAGCTTTATATATTTTAACTATTTTTATGCACATTTCGTTAATATTTAATTTTTAGAGATTTGGTTGTTCATTATCTAATATGATGATTGAATAAATACGAGAAGTTTAAGACTAAAGAAACAATTGCTCAATTGTACTATTGCGAACATGAGTTTCATGTCAATTGCATCACATAAGCGCTTTTTGAAAGAAATCGTTGTCCCATGTGTAGAACAATAATTTTCCCACGACAGGAGGAGTATCCGAAGTGGATTCACGATTGGGGCAAACTTCGAGATTTTCTTAGGCATGACATTGTCTGATGTTATGCAGAACTCTGAATTGATTAGACATTTTTTAAGATATATCTAGTATCACTCCTGGATGGAGCACTGATGTGATAAGTAAATTTTAGTGTTCACGTGTTCTGGTTACTATTTTCAAAATTTCGAACTTCCATGTTCTGTATCAGTTTTTCATCAATAAAACTATGGGTGTTGCCACTGTCGATGAGGATAGATTTTTTCCTCATTTTCACCTAACCAGGTATTATAATGGTTTTAGGTTTGAGGCTCCCAGAAGGAGCATTAATGGAAATCTCCTAATTTCCTCCTCTTCCTCTTCCTCTTCCTCATCTTCACCGGTATCTGATAAACATTTCCGTTCTCCAGCCGGTTCCATCGCTTCTTCTTAATCTATTAGCATAAAGTTTAACATCGTATTCTTGCAAATGTGCCCTGGTATATACTTTTCATCACATCTAAAGCATAATCCTAAACTCCCCTTTGTCAGAATGTCAGTAGGGGTGATAGTTTTGAACTTCAATGGGTGGGTTTGGGTTTTTTGGCTTGATTCATGAGTGGTGTTAGGTAGGTATTTGGGAGTATTTTCAGGAGCTTTCTGAGGGATGTTGGACCATTTGGGTTGGTAAGTAGGTTTGGCTTAGAATTTGGAGGTTTTGTTCAAGGCTGTACTGGTGTTTTCTTGCAATAGGGCTACTCAAACGCTTGGGATTCAGAGTTTGGCCTCACAATTTTAAATATGGATTTAAACTCTTCCTTCAATCTACTGGTGAATATAGAAATATAATATGATTCCGGAAGGTGAGGCAATGAAAGCATAACCTGGGATTGCAGATCTTCAAACAATTCCTGGTATTCAGCTACACTTCCTTTTGTCTAATTTTGCTGAAAACTTCTATGACTTCCTCCGTTGTAGATTCAACAAACCACCTGCAGATCTCAGTTGAGAACAAACTCTAGTCAAGCCATAGGATCTAAAAAACAAAAAAGGAGAGAGAGAGAGCTAGCAGCAACCAATGATGAGAAGAAATTGGAATCTAAAAATATATATTCAGAAATTGAAATCTAAAAATCCCCTGTTCAATAATCACGTCCAAATTCTTGATACACCCTTCGAAATAAATACTCCAGAATCCAGATGCACTAGTGTGATCATTGACCATTCTACAGTTTATATCAAGAATACTCTGCATCGGAGTCTTCGATTAAGAGAAAAAAGAAAAATAGCGAAGGCAAAAAATTACCAGTGGCAGCCAGTAACAATATAATGTTGTCCACAAAATTTAACCTCAGACACTTTCCCTTCTTCTAAATTCACAGCGGAGGAAGTGCGCTAAAATCGAAGGAATGGAATTGAAAGTGAAACCCTAGGAAGTCGAAAGTTTGGAGAGGAGGAGATTGGAGAATTCTGAAACCGTTTCAATTTAGGTTTTTGGTAAAATCATTGATATAAAATGAAAAATGGTAAATTAACCCTTTTTTTGAGGCCCAAGTCACAATTTTGAGGCCCCAGGCCCTTGCCTAGGTGGATTGGGCCTCTAACAATTAGTGCCATGTAAACCAGTAAAATTCTAGCATAAACTCAAATTAAGAAGTCAAAGCAAATCTCTTTACAGGGCAATACTAACTCCAATTCACACTTCACAGAGTCACAAGGCAACACTATGCCATTGTTTGGCCCCCATTAAATTACATTACATTATATTAAATTTTTCTATCTCTTCATTTCAACCACACATTCATCAAATAAAATAATATTAAACACAAATCAAAAAAATTCAACCACATTCTCCCATCAATCACTATTTTAAAAATTTTCAACCCCCAAAAATGTAAAATAATGAAGGCCAAACATGGGCTATATTCAATTCACATTTCACACTGCAATTCAAAAATCACAGGGCAATATCAAATCACTAATGACTAACCACCAGAAATTGTGCAATTCAAACTTGACAAATCAATTGAAAATAAATGTGTTAAACTCACAGTCACAGAGGCAGCAAAACAAGAAGTCTGAAGATTGGAACTGGAAGGAACTGGAACACTGGAAATTGAAGTCTGGCAAAATCAATTGAAGAGCATTATGTTAAAAAGAAACAAAATCAAACATTATTACAATTTACATAAATCAAAATTAAAAAAAAATAATAAGAAAGGGAAAACGAGGCACGGCGGAGCAGGCGAGGGCCGCGAGGCTTCACGCCTTCACCTAAATCCTAATTCCTACTCACCTTCTTCTTCTGCTGCAGCCGAAGAATAGACAGCGGTTGAGGCACGGCAGAGCAGGCGACTGGGGGGAATGGCGAATGGCGGAGGCTGATGACAGGATGAGGCAACGGAAATTGAGTGGCGGGAAGATTGAGGAAGAGGCGAAAACTGAGTGGAGCCGGCCGCCGGGACTAGGAAAAAGAGAAGATGTAGAAGGAGGACGGGAAGGAAGGAGGGAGATTGAGGATTCACTGGAAACAGTAAGCAGGGGCGAAATCATTGTAAATGGTGAAGGATTGAATTGAATGGTATTGGGCGAAATGCAGCTTCAGGGCATTATTTAAAAAAAGGGAAGAGTTTAAAAGTCAGGGATTAACTATACACAATTCAAAAATTAGATTTTAAGTTTGACTAATGCAAAAATCAAGTTTTAGTTTATTAATTAAATATAATAAAATCACAGTTATATAATTAATGGTCGCATATACATAATTATAAGTCACATGTCACATATTTTAAAATTAATTTATCACAGATTATTTCACGGTCAAGGATCAAAAATTTTGTATATCACGGATTATTTTTTAGTCACATATTATTAAATTTTTAGGTCACAGTTGAGCAATTGATCGTAAATTACCAAACATTTGGTCACATATTACCAAACATTTGGTTACAGACTACCGCCACTACCACTTTCGACCACCTTCACCTCGTCGTCGTCGCGACAACAGCACCAATAAAACTACGACAACCACCTCCACCATCAATCACTAGCATATTACCTATTTTATAAGTCACAAATGCCAAACATCTCCAACATAAACGCGCCCATAGCCCACACCTCCACCTCACCTCCACATCCACAGTAAAGACCAACATCACCCCAAAGTTTGACAAAGTTAATAGAACACAGCAAAAATAGATGATTTTTATTTATGAAAGTTCATATCCTTTATTGCATTTTGATAACAAAGGTAAAGTACAAAGCGGATCATACTTAAAGATTTGCAGAAGAGTGGTTGAGAAAAATTTAGCTGTAATTCTGGAAACTCTACCATGGAGGAAAGAGAATGGTCGATTCTCTAGACAGATTTCTGCTGGCTGTAACGTATAATTCCATGGACGTAAATAATGCCAGGAGGGAAAACAGGGGAAGGAAGATGCTTTTTAATAGCTATCTTTCATACCCGCACAAAATTTCAGTCGCTGATCGTACAGCAACATTTGCAACTGCTGTAACATTAACAAGCGGAGTGAAGAGATAGTTCAACACTAGCCTTGTAGCAGTGGGAGCTTTTACATACTATAGCAGCGGCGACGACGATGCCTCTGCCGGCTCTCACAATGCCGGCTGTGAGGGGGAAACGTCAAGCAGTGTCTCCGGCGGCGGGCACTTCATCGGCAACTGTGGCTAAGGGTGAGGGTAGAGAAAGAGAGAATATAAAGAGAAGGAGAGGAATGAGGATAGAAGAAAAATGATTTAGGGTTTGTTAAGGATTAGGTGGGTGACTAAAATTTTAATTATTAATTCAATACCTGATTTTTTATTAAATAAAATTCACATCTGAATTTTGAATTTGAAAAATTAAATGCCTGATTTTTTTGTAATTTCCCTTAAAAAAAAAATGGGCCTTCAAATTGAGCCCTGTATTCAATGCAATGATTGGTCCGTTGAAGAAATTTCTTTAGTATTATGGAGGAATTTTGGTCGGTATTTTGAAGGGTTAAAAAACACTATCATAACTGATATAGGGGATCCATTGAGTTCAAACTTTGAGTAATGCCCACAATTGTGACAGTAAATTACAAATTTAATTAAATGAGTTTGCTACTTGTACATCAAAATTGTACACGATGGGTTACATAACATGATGTGGAGAAAAAAAGTTGGATGGACAAGTTGACTATGTTTTAAACTTACAAATGATAGTGTCATGTATCATTATGTAACATTTGATATACATATACCAAGATACTTAATTAAATACAATAATTTATAATCTATTTAATAAAACATACGATACGATGATACCTTAGCCGGAGTTGAGCTCCACGTGTGCTAGATATCATTATCCTAAACCATAATAATGTTTTCTGCTTCTTGGATTTGAACACGCCACCTTAGTTATTAGACATCGTTGAGAAATGACAAGAAACTTGCAAGAGAAAAGCACCTACAAAGAGTTTTAAAAAGGTCAAAATTTTGATCTACTAGTTTGTCTGTTTCAAATCATGATGTTAAAATTCCTAGATTCAATTTGAGACGCCAAAATGTTATGGACTGTCAATTGCAAACGTGGAAAACCACATGAAGAAGTTGCCAGATGAAAAATAGGATCGAAGTCTGTCCAAAGGGGCATATATACTTCCTCTACATACTATTTATAGTTATGATACACCGATATGGACACGTGTCTCTCCAAAGGGGCAACTATACTTTCTCGGAAATCATCTTGGCTTAAATCCTTCTGTTTTCTGGATTTTAGAAAGTACATATTTTAAAGAACGGGAATATATTTCATCCAACCACGTATATCAAATATGCATATAGTTAACAATTCGCCTCCCTATCCTATTCCATTTCAACTACATTCCCAGAGAAAAGAATTAAAACTTGATGTTTGATTCTTTGTATTTCACGAGTCATACAATACTGAGATCAAATGCAATAACAATAATTTCCTCCTTTCTTGTGTTCCTTTCAGCAACAGTATATATACTTCTTATGATGTTCATGAATATATTTATTTGATTAAAGCAACCCCTCCCCGCCTTCGGGGAAAAAAAGAATGAGAGGCAAAATGTGCAAAGGGTGTAAGAATGGCAGATGTTCAACAATGCGCGTCAAGCCAAGATATAATATCATCAAATACTTGAAGAATCATCTCATCTGGCTCCCCTTCGAGAAGAGAGTGATAGGCGTTATCATAAAGGTTAAGCTTCTTGTCGGGGCTGCTTGCCTTCTCGTATAATGCCTTGCTCACAGATGGATCGGTCACTTTATCAGCTTTTCCATGCAAGATCAATAATGGCAGAGACACCTGCAAATCGTAAAAAGGCAAAGGTTACGAGTGCAAATTCCGTAGTATGTTTAGGACAACACTGTTAGTGTGCCTTAATACTTTTATCATTTTTTTTTTACATTGGATAAGATGATTAAGGTGCGCTAACTTTCGTTACAGCAGGATGGTTCATCAACCAACTTAGACAAACTTTTGAGCCTGTGTTTAAGAAGATATAGAATGTTCGAATACTTAAATGTATACATCTGAAGCTCTTAGCAGGGTTATATACCCATAATTTTTTCTTTATCACGAAGGACTACTCTTAGATTTATATCATGAGATAGTAGTCACCACCGTTTCCATTTGATACTATTGAGCTAGGCAAATATTCAATTCATACCACATTACATAACTACAAGGTATGAAAGCATGAATGCATCTTAAGCTCATTCTACAAAATAATATAACTTCAAATAGTTGAAATCTTCACCTGTTTTGTCAAGCATCAGGAGCTTCACGAATTTCTTTAGACAGGATGTTGTCTTAACTATTAGGTCTACTTAACGCCTAAGTCACGTAGTTTGCTGGCCATGATCTGCTAGTCAGCGATCTGTTTGTGCTCTGATGCTCTTATAGCAAGAGTGCCGTTCTAAACTGCTTTACTAAATACTGATTTGTACTCCAGTAAATCTTAAATCGCCCTCCAAGAAACTGAAATAAAACAGGTGGTGACATGGTTGTTCACTACTGGGGATAGTGGTAATGGATGATGGCAATTAGATTGTGTCGAACCATCAACTTGTCATGGGGCTTGCATGAAGATGGAATGCAGGGCAAGCAGTAGTGGGGGAAGAAATAAGAATGGTGAGGATAGAGACCTTCACCAAGCAGCTTAGGACTGGAGAAAAGGAACCGATGCAATGTCTCAGAGATACATTATAGGAAACATGATTAGAGTGTGATTTAATTAACTTTGATGGCATTTCTCTACTTTGTTATGATTTTTGAAACCCTATATAAAGGGAATTATGGCGATGTAATAAGACAACTTTTGATTATGAAATAATTTGAGTTTCTTTCCCTATTTCTCTCTTCCTCTCCCCCTCTTCTCCCCCCTTTCCCTTTCCCCTTCTCCTACAATTGTTCTATTGCATCCTACATCAGGAACATAAGAGATAAAGAACAGAAAGGTGCGGCAGGTCGAATCAGAAGTGTTATTAGGATCTTCAGACACGTCATGACCCACGATGGGTTAGTCAAATTTAAAACTCGATTAAAAATAAAAGTCAAAGCTCAAAAGTAAACAGAGATTTTGAATATAGTAGAGAGCAGGTTTTGATCCCAGATCACCCCTGTGACATCCCTTGATAATACCTCTTAAACAGGCATCTTTTATGTCGTGAAAAAATATCTCAGTTTTTATTATTTTAATCCATGCTCTCAGGCACTCCAGCTCTCAAGTAATGCTCTCACCCTCTCTTTCTTGCTTCCGCTCTTACACCTGCATATGACTATGCTGAACACTTGAGCTAGGAATACAACACCACTCCCAAAAGTAATCCCAAATTAATAGAAGTTCACCCACTGGCGAACACTCGGGAACCTCCGAGTTTTACTTAAGCACTGAGGTAGCACATCACAATCAATTCCATTTGAGACCCCAACGTCTTTGCAGGAGAGTAAATGATCAAGGATTTTCAGGTAATGCAGAATTGTTAAGGTGGTTTGTTGAGTTGTAACAGTTGCTCTCCTTATGTTCATTAGGCGTACAACTTAGTGCATGTGCATGTGGGGGGGTTCAACACTTGGTTCCAAACATCTAATTATTCTCCGCTCAAGTTGCATGATTATCACGCCCAAGTCACAAAGTCGAGATACGTACCACAAGAATGGAAGAATGTGAATGGTTTACATTAGCCTACATCTACCACCTAAGAGATGTCACTAGTTGATCTATTCACTACACGACTCTCTCACTTGCGCTCAATACGTGACATTGCAGTTTAGATCTTTCCAGCAATACAATTTATAATATTCTTCACAACGCCCAAGTCACAAAGTCGAGATACGTACCACAAGAATGGAAGAATGTGAATGGTTTACATTAGCCTACATCTACCACCTAAGAGATGTCACTAGTTGATCTATTCACTACAAGACTCTCTCACTTGAGCTCAATACGTGACATTGCAGTTTAGATCTTTCCAGCAAGAAAAGGAATTTCGAAACTATAGATCAGCTATGGTGGAATGAGAAAGAAAATATAGAGATATCATATGTTAAAACATGCATGCACTTACATATTTTTTTTGTGTGTGAATTTATGTTTTATATGTCTACACACAGATTCATATACACACAAACATTAGTTCTAGAATTAATGTTCTAGTACTCCAAAAGACAGGCATTGGGTCTCTTACAATCTTAGATACATTATAAAATCCCTCATAAAATCATGCTCAAGTTTGTCTCAGAAACTTAAATCTTTTCCATTTTTTCTTTATTTTCCTTCTTCTACGAAACATAAACTCACGTGCCTCTCCAAACACATATTTTAATTTTAGTAGGCATTAACTGAACCTAGCTAAACAATGTCAGTAACTGTATCAACAATTTTTTTGCGTCATTCATAACACTTCAAAATTTCCGTTTTCAGGGCCTAAATGAATGTTTTTCCTAATATAATAGGAAAAATGTAATACCTTCATAATATCCATAATCTTCAAATATCACCAAAAGCAGGAAATGCAGGATTCTGTAATCCTTATATAGAACAGATCACGGATGAACAAGCTATCAGATAACAAAGAAATAGAGAAGTTGGTATGGTTTTCATGGACGCAATTGATACCTTTTCCAATTGTCGCTCTATCTCTTCTGTGGTGTTCAGCATCTCCAAGGCTGTTCGTAAACGTGGTTTATGTTTGTAAGCAATAACATTGTAGGCAGCCTGAATCAAGAAGATGAGATATATATCTGGTTATCACATTCTTATTAAGTGTGTCAAAAGGTAAAAGCCAGGGTAAAATGGACTAGATACCCCTTATAAGAACCTATTCCCTTCCCATTTTCTTTAGCTCAAAAATTAACTAAAGGGATGCAATATTTCTATACCCTAGACATATTTTAAAATTTAATGTCTAGCCATACTTCATCTTGAAAGAGATTTGTCCATTCGAAGTAAAAACACAGACCTGTTCTCTCTTCTTCACATCTCTGAATGCCAACTCAGCTAAATCCTTCTGTGGAACAAGCTTCCATTTTGGAAGTAATTTTGCCACTCCAATTAGAATTTGGGTCACCAGCCATGGTGGAACCATGTCCTCTGCAATCTAGATAAAAGCTTCCATTAATCCAGTGCACAAATGAATCATAAAATGCTTCATCGGAAACAATATGGATATATTACCTTGCACATAGGTGCAACAAGAATGGCACCATTCCATGCATCAGGTTGTTTCAGGTGCACCTTCAGAGCCACTGCACCCCCCATAGATTGTCCGAACAGAAAACTTGGCAAAGCATGGAATTCTGGGTTTTCTGCATCCCATAGTTCATCTTATTATTGTGATCGCCAAAGAAAGAAATGCATTTTACTTAAAAAGAATGAAAGCAACAAGTTTGAGGCCAATAACAAGGCCAAATTAAAAAGATTCGAATTGGCAGAATTTAACTAATTTCTTCAATCCACCAAAACTTTATCTAGTGGTAGGTCGATTCCAAAACCCTCATATGAAATAAATGACTCCCCTTGCAGAAAATAAAATCAACCTTTTCTCCCTTTCATAAGTGAAAATACTACCAACTTTAAATTACTCTCTTCAAGAGATTTCTCAAGTACTAATAAGAAGAATGCAAGTGGTATGAAGCCCTGTGCAAATAGACAAATATACACATCATCAAGTTCTACGCTGGTCAGATATTCAGAATGCATTCCTGCATGACATAGCGACTCCTAAGTTGTCCATTGCAATTTTCTGTTGCAGTCCTTTTGAAAGGAAAGGGAATATTTTGAAAGGGTAGCGGTCACAACATTTTACAAATGATTTTTTTCTTATCATTTTGTTTTATATGGGCCCTCATTAGGTCTTACATACCTTTTGCTAATTATTCCAGTCATATGCATGCTTTTACAGAAAATATACCTTGATTTTAAGTCTGTTGATTATTTTAGCATAGTTACCACAAGCATATACATTCAAGCGATGGACAATAGGGAACAATCAATTTATTGAATTGCTTATTTCAGAAGCTTAATGCTTTCTCCAAATAAAAAGTATCAGCAAAGAAATTCCTGACTATCATGGTTGAACCATAAATCACTACTACAGATTTCTCTCATAACCTGGACACAAGACGGCATAATAGTTAGAAACTAAAAATAAATTGTAACTCATAGAATTGACATTTCTATACTTGATATACAGATCTTTTGCCGTTGCAACAAACAGCAACTTCTAGATTAATGAAGCATTAGCCCAGAATCTCTCGATAAAGTGAGGCTAATAAGCAAGAACATTATAGTCCTATCCTAACTGACAAGTTCTTCTTAGAAGAGGGAAAAACTCTAAGCTTCCTTGAAGTTAGAAAAATAATTGTTGGAAACAAAAAACCTCTAAATATCTTTAAAAGGTGAGAGTTGCAATTTTGCTCCGCAGATTCTATGCAGGCAAGAATTACTAGCAATTTTCCTCTTACGAACAAAGAGAATGAAAACCAATGTCCCAACGAGGTATGCAAATCAATGTCAAAGCAAGGTCTTTGACTTATATCCAGATCCACATATTATTACCCTTTCAGTCCAGAATTGAATGACATCAATCTTTTTGGGTTCCCTGAATGATGTCCTTCCTAAATGGTACTTTTCTTTCCAAACGTATCTTCCATAGAGTACACAATGTGACTTAAAAACATGTTTAGTCACTGATTTAATGTTTAGAGTGTGTTTGCAAGCACATTAAAATGGAAAAAATGCATTTTTTTGTAATGTGATTGTGAATGTGGTTGAAAAAGAAGGAAAAGTTATTGATGTGATGGAAAATATTATTTTATTGAAAAATGTGTAGTTGAAAATGAGTAGAAGAATGAGAATGAAAATGAGAATGTGGCTCAAATGGGCCTTAGTCACTAATTTAAGGGAAAATGAAAAGTTACATCAAATACTCATTTTCTAACTCTCGCAAAAATCTCAGTGCCAATTCAAAAGAGGATGTTCGAATCCAGACAGGAAGTATTTTTTTTTAAGTTTTGATAACTTAAAAGTCAAACCAACCAACCCAAAACAAATTCATCATAGAGGTTGTTGAAATTTTTATGAAATAAATCAGCCAGTGTCATACCTTTAACTTTTGAGTAATGTTCAATAACATCATCAACGAGCTTGTCGAAACTTGGAACATAACCATGTAGGCCTTCTGATAGACCAAATCCTGGGTAGTCCATGGCAAAAACTCCATACCCTGAAGATGCTAACTTCCTAGCAATTCCTATAAATAACGCCAGAAAATCATTAGTTTCACTTTTCTCTAAAATAAGTTGTAAATTTATGTTTTTATCACAAGCCACGTGCCTTCTGCAAAAAATGTGCAAGTATCTCCATAACCATGACAAAAACAAACCACTGCTCTTGGGGAACTGCTCTCCGGAAGCCAACTTTTCGAGAAAATTTCCAACCCTCTAGAGTTCACCTCGTATGACTACATCAAAAAATCTAGAATGAGTTACTTGAGTATCAATATTGGAAAACTTAAACATTATGGTAAACTATCCTGATACAATCTAGGAACGCTAAAAGTGAAGAAGACCTTCATGAACTCCATCACTTTCCCAGGGTGGAATTGAATTATCTATAACTATGAACGAGTAGATTTGCTCTACTGAAGAATCTTGATTGTATATAGGCTAAAAAGCAGAAATTATGACCAAGGCCAAGGCCAAGGGGTAATGAAGATTAAGGGAGATAGGAACTGCAAAGTTGAGTTCCACGTGTCTTGATGCTTTCCTATGGAACTTGTCCAAACAAGATTTGTTGTGAAAGTTGGTGAGATTTCAATAATCCATTACCATTGCACAAGATGAAGATTCATTGTTAATATTAAATCGTTTGAAATAAGAAGAATTTATTTATAAAACAATTCCTATTTGAGAATGTATGGGCTAGATCACTAATATTTTGAATCCAAGCCTTATTCCCAATAAACTTGGCGTTGAATAAATTATCCTTTTTCGCATTCCTTTAGATTGAGTCTACCTTTACTAAAGGTACAATATAATCAATTTCTTTTACCACCACATCAGTTGATGTTAATTTTGGTCTACACTCCATCAGTGTATTTTACAGAATTTCAATGGGTATTATCCATCCCAAAAACTGAGATATTTTTTCTTAATAAAATTGTTGATCTCCTAATTTGAGAGAGGGCAATGAGGATTCAAGCTGAATGAGTCAATAGCACAAAAATAAATAAATAAATACTAAAAGTTGGTTACCTCCTCCATTTTTAGTCCATCGCCCGGAATCTGCAAAAACAGGTAAACACTAATTTTAGTACACGCAGAACATATCGACTTAGGTGCATGGAAACTAAAAAAATGTTTATGCAAGATAAGATATTTTTAATAAAAATTCCAGAAAAATAAAAAACAAAGGGATGTATCGTGAGAATGCTTAGAGACACACAAGCAGAACATGTGTCTAGTGATTCACTTGGATGAAGCAAATGGTCAGAAGTCTGACATGAAAATGTGGCTTTCACCTAACAGCAGAGGAAAAATTAAAATGAAAGCAAATTTGATATAATGATGTTTCTCTGGTAAATGAAAAGACAAACAACACGTATTCTGTTATATGTTATCTATAAAAAAGGAGAATTCTAAAATTTGCAAAAGTTTAAGCATGGGAGTTGTCTGATATAGATGCAGCTTTAATGCTGCGAGTGGCTAAGACCAAGCTGTATGGGTTCTGAGATAACATGGAAGTCAGTTTAGTAACTAAATACCACAAGTTTCTCATTCAAAATCATTCATAAAGAAGACAACATGGCAAATGAGAGAAAACGTGATATTCATTTTCATTAACATAATTAAATCTGTCGAAATATTAAAAAATTGATTCCACGCATTTGATATTCTGATCTCTGTTTACCTTATTGTATTCGTATGAAAATCATAAACATCGTCCTCATTTTATTCCACTAGACTCCCCATAATTACTCTTCACATTTTTGCAGTATAATGCTGTATAGCACCAAGGGTGTTTAGCACCGGTCAAGGTAGCAGTGCGTCCCATGCTTTATTGTTTAATGATGTTGATATGCCTTATTGTTTGATATGCTTTATTGTTTGATTCATCGAACAATGAGTGGGCTCCACTTCCACCTAGTGTGCTAAGAACCAGCGGTGCTCTCGTTTTCGCGTGTATGGCCTGCTGCTAGTCAACCTTAATTCAGTTTTATTCCCATGCTTCCACAACCATCAAATTTTCATATGCGAAGTAAAATTACCGTAAATCCTATAACAGACAGAACCATTACGAACAGCAAAGTCCCTAACCAGAACAACACAAACAGGGGACTCCTGGACAATTTCAATCCATTTTACAACTAAAAAATCGATTTAAAAAAAAAAAAAAATTTAAATGCAAACGCCAACAATCTCTTGAGCTCACAAGTCAAATCAGAACATATCTAAACTTTGAATTCTCATTTAAACGCTTAGTCAAAGCCCAAATATATCAAATGAGCAATCCCGATTAAATTCTATTCAAATTTTTCAAAGATTCGATCTTTAAATCTAAATGGGTAAAAAATCAAAACTTTTTTTTCCATTACAACAAAACGTAGGCAGAACATTACAAATACCTTGAACAAAACATGATCGATAGAGAGCTGAATGTCCTTGAAAGCCTCACGAGCCTGACGCCTGGGGCCCACCTGTTCCATGTCAGCATCCAGAATCTTCTGCAACTCCTTGCTTACTCCAGGAAACTTCCCGGGATTCCCCATGAGTTTCAGAGAAAAATTTCTTGGCCCTCAATTCTAGATTTTGAATAAACAAGTAACGAATCTAATATAAATAATAAACCACAAAGATTTAATGAAAAAAGATTAAAATAGAAAGAGAATAGAATAAAGAAGAGAGAGAACAGAGAACAGGGAGATGACAAATAGGATAATGAATCTTCAAAAGCATAAATGCTTTTATTTTCTGAAGTGTTTACATTGACGGGATGCCTTTTCTAAAGCTTTCGAGGTTTGAATGACAAGTGTACATCAGTACATGTGATATAACTGAATATAATATTAAACAATTACATGTGTTGAAATAAAGAAGCTGGGCGAATGGGGGTGCACAGATTCAAGAGCGAGGCAAAATTGGGGGCTGACCAGCCAAGATAGGCTGCATTTGTTGGTTTCTTAGTGGATTTATTCCTGAATTACTCTACTCAAATAGGGAAAGAAAACAGATAGAGTTGGCAGCTTGTGATTGGACGATTTTTTTTCAAAATTTTCCATCTCCCAATGAATTATCGCCAAGTGTATGTGTTTGCTTTATTCCTACTTGTGATTGAATTTATTGGAATTTTGGTCAACCATTAATATACAGTGGCTGTCATATTCATGATGCGTGTGCATTTGACTAAGGCTATTTAATACATGCGGTCCATAGCACGGGGTGTATGTAGGGGTGGCAATCGAACCGAACGATTCGTCGACTCGACCTCTCGGCTCATACTGTAACGGTCCACGAGCCGCTCGAGCTCGTCAAAAAACGAGCGCGAGCCCGAGCCGAACAGGCCAGCTCGGTAGGCGAGCCGAGCAGGCCGGCTCGGTACAATACGAGCTCGTGGAGCACGGCCAAGCCGAGCTCGCCCACGAGCAAACGAGCGAGCAGAAGCTCGACTCGTTTTATAACGAGCCACGAGCTCGAGCTCGTGGGTAACGAGCCGAGCTCGTGGGCAACGAGCCAAGCCGGCTCGGTTCAGCTCATTTGCCACCACTAGGTGTATGTTACATTTTTGAACAATATATATGCCGCAATGTGGTCGAATATTTAATGCATATATTTTTAAATAATTTTATTCCCCCTAGTGATGATAAGCACCAGCATAAGTTATCGTGTACCTCATTGTCGTATAAATCGTTGATCATTCGTTGTAATGGTGAATATTATTACTTATTTTATTTAAGTGCATTATTTAAGTTGTTACTTAAGTAGATCAAACATAATTTTTATCTGTACATTTGTAGGACTCACATTTACTTTCTCACTTAATTTAATCACTCCTGGACATGATTATAAGTAGCACCACTTGTGCTAAGTGACATTGGATCTGATTCATTTTCTAGTGAAGTTAAAATATATTTTGACAAATCGGACAATGTGTGGATAAAATCTATTATAACATAAACTAGTGCTAAGAATAAAGAATGTGACATAGAATTTTTATATAAAATATGTTCAACATCACAAAACCTCCATCAATTATAAATAAAGCATCTTACAAATTTTCAATTACACTCAATTTACATACTAAGCCCCTTTTTGGTAATATTTTTTAGAAAAATATTGTTTTGAATAGTAAATATTTGGAAAATGTGTTGTTAAAAAGTAGGTAAAAGTTTTGGGCTTACGTGTAGAATGTCTTGTTATATGAATGTGTGATTTAAAATAAATATGTAAAAAAAAAAATTTAAAAGAATTTGAGACAAACAAAGGCTAAATAAATAAACTCAATTTACATACTAAATATATGTATCAATTTCATGCTCATCTATAAACTCCTATACTTGAGAGTGAACAAGTGATTTTGGTCTTAATGGCTTGTTAAAGCACGAAGGCTGTTCTGATTGGTTCCAAGAATTTCCTGCTTTTGGCTTTCTACAACTTAAGTTAATTGAAGCTTGAAAGAAGACACTGATGTCGACGTATTAATCTTCAATAAATCTCTTAAATCCGAGGTGGGGGAAATGTTGGGTGGAGAGAGAGTCTACGTATTCTTTCTTTTTTCCTTGAAATTTGTTGACGTCGATTTCTGGCTTGACGGTATGGCTTTACTCATGTTCACGTGTAAGACTCATAAATGGTTGGACAAATCATTAGACACGCATGGCCTTTGTCGATGGTGGGGGAGATGCGAGCAACTATCAAATTAATCAATTGCAGATATATATTTGGATGTGGGATTAACAAAAGACGTGAGTCGCAAGGATATGTACAAATATTGGATTCAATAGAGAATACCAAACAAGATTATTATTGAAAATGAAAATTTGCATTATCTATAAATGATGCTAGATGAGTTTTTATAGTGAAGGATGTGAAGTCGTTATCTCTGGTTTAGGATGCATTCCTCATCTCTACAACCAATGCATATCCTCATAGGTATCACTTCTGCAATCCATTTATTAATTATTCTAAAAAGTGGTCATCATATGATCTAGGTCTAACATTTCGAAGATAGATTGACAAGTTGACTGAAAGACAAATGTTGTAAAAACGCTAATCAATAAATCGTATGAAAAAATCTTGTATGGAATCTCTCTTGAATGAGGCGAAGTTATGAAAGACACCTCGTGGAATCAAAGGCTTTATTGCTTCGAAATAGGCTATATCAGATCATGGTACCTCACCTCAATCATAGGGATTCGACATGCCAACGTGACTAATATGAAGGCTTCACTTCGATTTCCTCTTTTCAACAGCCTCGTCTAGGTTAGACAAGCAAGTAATGTGAAGTGTGAACCTTGTGTGACTTTTTAGCAATTTGCCACGTGGTCAGTGATTGAAACATCGTGAGATCATACATAACAAAATTAATTTTTAATCATCTTAAAGAAAGAAGGAAAAAAATTTAAATAAAAACAAATAATCAAAATTCATTCTTAAAAAAAATGTTGCTTATTTTCTTTTACAATTTCTTTGAAATTGACCAAATTTTGTAATGCATGTAATTGTGTGAAATTGATCTTTTGCTTCCCGCGAGTAGGATAAAACTTCTCACCATCAATGTGGTTAGAGGACCATACTTCTGGTTTTATGAGACGGAGATAACCATATGTATGCTTATCTTGTTATATCCGTAGTGAAAAAAATTTATCATGACAACTGAGGGTAGAATAATCTAATAAACATTAGGACGATAATTTGGGTGCCCCTACCAAGTACCTTTTGACTTTCTTGTTTATGCTCACAATTGCGCATCGTTTCAATTGATAAGGGTTGTTACTTTTAACAAGCCTTTGTTTGGCCAATTTTTTTAAAAATTATTATTTTCAAACTAATTCGATTATACATTTTTCTGATTTTCACAATTTTTATCAAATCAACCAAATATTTTATCAACTTTTATCAAAATTTAATAAAAATATTTTTTTTATCAAAATCAAATAGAGGCTAAATCTTATGAATAATATTATTTGTGCATAAGAAATTATATAATGATTTACATACAAGTGAGATGTCAAAAAAAGAGTGGATTTTTTTATTTGGTTGAAGAAACTCCGACATAATCATAGCTCATCACATCATATGTGTATAGGTTGGGCAAAAATCAATCTGAATCGGTCAAATCAATCAACTCAACCCAAACCAACCAGTTTGGATTGGTATTTTAGTTCAATTGGATTGAGTTGGGTTCGGGTTAGGAAATCAAATTTTAGGTTAGGTTCCGAGTTATCTATTAAAACTCAATCAAACGCAATCCAACCCAATAAATTAAAAAATATTAAAAAGAAAATTAGTACTTAAAACTAAAAACCTAAAACCTAATGATCAAAATTCTTTTCTGCCACATGTATCTTCTGCATCTTGTCTCTTCTGCTTCTCATTGATGCTCGTGTCTTGGTTTCTCGACTCAATTTTTTGACGTGGTTTCTGACTAAACACTTGAACTGAATGAGGAGATTTTGTATTGAGTTTGGATGATTTAATATTTTAGTATTTAGGTTGAATTCATTTTATTCAATACGTATAATATGCAGGTATCCAACATGTATTTAGATTGATTTAATATGTATTTAATTTGATCATGGTATAATCTATTTAACAATTTTACAATTTTATTAATTTATGTTGTTCTATTGGAATTAAACTTAACCCCACGGACCATTGATCCAACTTCAATCGATTTAAGGCCTTTCAAATCACTATTTTTAATGTAACTGAAATTGTCCAAATTGAAATGGTATCAAATTTAAAAATTGTTAAAATTCAACGAAAAATGTCCTAACCATTGGACCCATAAAAAAATTGTCCAACTTGAATTAGACTCAAGTTTAAATCAACTCAACCCAAATTTGGTTGGTTTGGATTGGATTGGATTGGATTGGGTTTCAACCGTGAATGGACTGGATTCGATTTGAATTATGGGAAAATTACACAAAATTCTACTTTTCAAAATCAATATTCAAAAATCAGATTGAAAGTTTTATTATACAAAAATCAGGTATTCATTTAATTATAAATTAATATTTTATTAATCATAATAATATTACATACCCTAATCTCTCCCCCCTCCCTCCCCCTACTCACTCTCTCGTCTTACTGCTCCTCTCGTCTACCCTGCCTACCCAAAGTCGCAATTGTCGTTGTCGTTGTCGAGGAGCAGAAGTTACTGGAGACACGATGCGTCACGTTGCGCCGTCGCAGTGTGGCGATGTGAACCTGCAACTTCTTCAGTTTGGTGTGCCGCCATCACGATTAGGATCTGGTGGACTTGTGGAGACTGTTGCGGTGTGGTGGATTTGTGGTTGTAATGTGTGGATTTGTGTGATTTGTGGTGGCAGGGGCGGATTGGGAATTTTGTTGTGGGGTTGGTGGTTGCGGTATGGTGTGGTGGAGATGACAGTTATGGTGTGGTCTGTGACGTGAGGGACGATAAAGGTATGAGGGGCGCTGCAGATCGCCTGTAGCAAGCCGGATGATTTTTTTTTTTTTTTTGTTGGNTGTTTGAAACTTTGATTTTGTTGTTGGGAAGTGGTGGTGATGGTGGTGGGTGTTGGCG